TCAGGAAAGAATAAAATTTTGTTCCAGGGATCGACCATATGTCTCCTTTACCGAAGTATATCAGTGAATAAGAAGTACTCGAAGGCCCACCTTTCCTAGACGGGCTTGGCATGCCTTTGGCCATTTTAGCGCAGCGACAATTGCTTGTGCGGTAGACCGATCGGTGAGACAGGGAGAGATAGCTGACAGCCTTTTCCTTGGCGAATCCGGCCGCAGCGAGATGAGATCTGACATGACACCCTCTGGCAGATGGAGAAGGTTTGCAGCACACTTAGTCGCATGCTCAGATACACGACCGGAATCTGGAGAAGGAAGCATGGAGTAAAGAATAAGAAACTTGTTCCGCAATCGAAACCGTAAAAAGCGAGGTGTTTAAAGCGATCTCACCAATGCTGGAAAGAGCAGAAGAGCTGCGAGAAGGCTGTGCTCTACACTCGATGGCCTCACTTGCACCGGAATGCGCGAATATCTCCAAAGCACAATCCGAAACTAAAAAACACACATTCATGAGTAGACCTTCGTACGCTTCCTTTTCGGCCTAAAATGTAAATGTTGGAGGCGAAAGGGTCGAACACTTGATGGAGTCGTGCTGAGTTGCTGCAGTCAAAGGAAAGACCGTTAGGACCTACGATTGGCGTTTTGGCTCAGACTTCAAGGGTATTGGAGTTTTAAGAATTGGGTGAATGTGAAACATTTGGGCTACTTAACATTTGGAAGAATTTTTTATCATCATAGGCACCCTCACAGTAAAGCATTACCGGGTTAAGTTAAGGTTTACGCTGGAGATTTTCTTAAGAGCTAACGTGTTCAGAGTTGTAATTAACTACACTTTGCCCAATGGAATAACATACCCTACTGTCCTAAATGTCAAAAATATGCTAGAGGCGTTAAAAAGACCTAGGAAAGTGCGAATACACAAGCAGTTAAGCTTACACTGAAAACCGCCTGGTGAGCTCGTTTTTCCTCCTCAACTGTCTGTGATGTGACCTGGAGGCGATCCACAGCATTGCGGAGACTCTGCAGTTGAGCAGTTGAGAGACGTCTCTCTTGTAGCAGTACCCGCAGACGGGTTCTTTGAGAGTCCAGTTCAGCCTGCAAACGTTGACTGGCCTCAAGGAGAGCCGTATTTTCATTTTCCTTCTTCGTCTTTTGTTTTTAGTTGGGTTAAACAAAAATGAGCACACTGA